CTACTACTACTCCTACCACCACCACTACCACGACCACGCCCACGCCCACGACCACTACCACTACTACTACTACTACCGCTACCACCACCACCACCACCACCACCACCACTAGCTACTCCTGCTGCTGCTGCTGCTGCTGCTGCTCCTCCTCCTCCTCTTCCTCCGACTACTACTACTGCTACTACTACTACTACTACTACTACTACTGCTACTGCTACTGCTACTGCTACTGCTACTGCTACCGCTACCGTTACTGCTACTACTACTACGACTACGACTGTGACTACACTACGACTACGACTACGACTACTGCTCCTGCTCCTGCTCCTGCTCCTGCTGCTGCTGCTCCTGCTGCTGCTGCTGCTGCTGCTGCTGCTGCTGCTACGACTCCTCCTACCACGGCCACTGCCAGTGCTACTGCTACGGTTACTACGATTATCGTTGCTACTACTGCTACGACGATGGTGACGATGACTGCCATCATTGCTGCTACCAGAGCTATCACCAGTGCTGTGATGGCCGTGGTCACTAGCAGTGAACCTGTCAGCGCAAAAACTGGTGCGTCATGTTCACTGAGGCATCGGCGGAAGAACCCGAAACTGTCCTGGGAAGATGCTTTCTACCAGGACCCTTGGTGGCACGGGCTGTTCCGAATTACAGTTCCCTTCGGGGATACCTAGTTTGAGATGTGGTCTCCCCGGGAACCCTGCACCCTTCAACCCTACAGCTTTTGCGGCCTTCGAGGACGCCTCGTCCTACGTGGTGTATACATCCGACCAAGCACATTTCAGCGCAGAGCTGCTTGGCAGGGTTTACGGTTGGACAGGCTTGGGTCGGAGCTTCGGGTCGGGTCGACCCATAGGCCCCAAAGTAGTTCCTTTTTGGGATTGCCTTATAGGATTCTATATATGAACCCCAAAAGGAACTACTTTAGGGCCTATGGGTAGGAGGGTTAGGGAGACGGGTTGGGGCTTTCCCAATTTCCAGTGCTTAAAGGTCTTCGGGTTAGGGTCCAGAACTTTGATTGGTTGGGGTTTCAAGATCGTTTTGGGGAATATGTGTGGGGATCCACATATGTACACAAATAGATTTAGATATGAACATGAGTGTGTGTGTGTGTGTGTATGTATGTATGTAAGTGTACATATAGATATAGAGAGATATAGGTAGAGGGAGACAGGGACAGAGGGAGAGTGACATTGGGCGTTGTGAGCGAAGCTGACTTTTACGGACGAGTGATGATCGCTGCAGGTACTTGCTCATAGATAGAACACGGTTCGGGAGCGTATCACGTTGCAACGCAAGAGCTGAACCATTCAGTCAATTCTCCACGTCTAAGATCCGAGGATGAGTGGGGGTGATTTGATATTCCACGTTGTATGATCCCATAAGGGTTCTGTATATGACGGTTTTGAGCAGCGCTGCTTGCAAATCTCAGCTGGCTGTTGGCCTTTTTTGAGGAAGATCAGCTCTAATCCTGAATTGACACGCGGATCCACAAACCCACTACCCATTGGCCCTAAAGTAGTTCCTTTTGGGGTTCATATATAGAATATTATAGAATCCTATAAGGTAATCCCAAAGGATTCTATATATGAACCCCAAAAGGAACTACTTTGGGGCCTATGGGTAGACCCGAGCCGTGAAGGAAGGCGTGTCGCCTTGCCGGACTCCGGTGCCGTCGTGTCAAAGCCACGCTGGACGAGGCAAAGTGCCGGAATTAAATCGCGGGTTCGGGGATTTAGGGTTCAGGGTTCAGGGTTTAGGATTATGGGTTTAGGGTTCAGGATTTAGGCTTGGAATTCGGGAATGGTTTGTAGGACGTCGGTTTGGGGCTCAGGCACCGTGATTTGCCCGACTCCACAAAACCTGGCACTGTTACAGGGGCACGATTTCCACCGAGATGGTCTTAGGCTGAGAGTTTTGAGGCTGCACCTGGACCACTGGAACGGTTTTTGGGTACGTAGAGCTTCGGGCGGGGTCTTTGAGGTCTGTGGCGAGAATGCGAGTCTTTGCCGTTGCATCAGGCCGACAAGAACTTCACGCTGCGGCCCAGTCCTCCGGCATGCACAGGATCTGATCCGGAATCGTTTAGGGAGTTTGGGGTGTAGGGCTTCGATAGCAGCTGAGAGGGTGTAAGGAGGTCAGGGCCAGTTTAGGGTTTGTGTATGGTCTGCGAAAATGGAAGTAGAGTCGCGGTTGTTTGGGATTTGCTGTTTTGCCTGGGGACTTAACAAGGAAAAGTTCAAGCAAGGTGCTCGAGTCTGGGTATCTATGGTGTGGAGAGACTTCTGGTAAGTTTGTGCTGTTAACGCTGTAAATTCACGTTCAGACCAGTGCTTGTGGTTTCGGCCAAAATTGCCAGAGCAAGTCTCGTGCTAGAAAGTAAGGAACCGTAGAATAGAGGTATTATCTTGGAGACATGCAGCAGGTTCATGTGAACGTCGGCGGCCGCTGCAAACTGTTTCGTGCGCATCGTGATAAAGCGAATGACAGCCATCATGACAACGATAGCGCTGCAACGA